CACAATAAGTTTTCTCACTGACAATTTTTTATCAGTAAAGCAATAAACTAGTTGTTTGCTTAACGTGATGGAGGAGCAGCACAGTCTCCAGACTTCAACCTCAGGGAGAAGGTTTGGAATGAACTCGGCAGCAGGTGTTTCTGAACAATATTATATTTCTAATGCAGAAAGAACAACACCTGACCTGATTAATTATTTAGTTCAAGAAGATGTAATTATTTAATTCTGTTTATTTGTCCTGTGCTATGATTTCAGAAACGCTGAATTCTTGAACGATTAAACTTCAAATAACAGCTGGAAGAATTCATTTAAAAATGCTGATGTTCTACACAGTTTGATGGTAGTTTATACTTATGAATGTTATTTTCAAGCTAATTTGAGAGACCTGTTACTGGAGGAAGCCATAGTCAGAACTTTTTGACAGAAATTGTGCATTTGCTTTTTTATTCTATTTGAATTGTTCCCAGGGCTTCTTTAAATATTCAAGACATCACAAAGACTGCACTGTGCAAATGTTGAAAAACAGAGAATTGTTCCAAAACTGAAGCAAAAAACCACAGTTAGACACACGTCTACAGGACATTCTAAAAGTCTTTGTTTCTATACTAAAATCAAACCTTCCTCTCGGTCTTCACTATCAGTGTGTACGTATCATGCATTTAACTTGGCGATAATCAATATTTTTACATCATTAGAAATTGATTAATTGCCTTTATGTACTGTGACAGCGCATCATCTCACTCGTTTTGTTTACCAGCTTCAACAGTACTGTTTTGGTTCTTTCACAACTTTTATCAAACCCTATAGACACATCAGGCGGCTGCGATCAGCTAGGAAACACTGGCGACAGCCAAGAGAGGCACCACAGGACAAAAGGAAGACATTTCAACGATGGCGGACATTTTTGAGGAGAGACTTTGTGAAACTTCAGGTGTTCACATGTCACTTCTCCTGGGCCAAGGAGAGGTGCATTATCACAGCCTCCTCCACCTCTAACTATTGCCTCACACCTAAGCCAATGTAAAGGACGCATGGAAGTATGTGGACAGTCACAGTTATACTGTTTCAAAATAAATGTTTACATATGTAAAGTCAATATAAATGGGCCTTCTTCCAGTCTGTCTATTCTTGACAGTACATTTCAAACTTGGGTAAAGATTGTGATTCTCATCATTGATCATGATTGTGCGAGAGGGGAATGAATCCCAACCTTAACTCAGAACCACAAGGGTGTCCAAAGAAACAAATTCAAGATATTAAATCGCTCACAGAGCAACACATGTACCCAGTGAATGTCAACAAGGCAGATCAGGAGCTCTCCAATGGTTATGATATAGATTTATGTGTTCTGACATCCCACAGATGGTGTGAATTAGTCAGGGAGGGGGGTGCCAGCACGAGTTCAAGAGAGATGACCTGGCCTTCAGTCCGCCACTTGGGAAACCAAAGCAACAGATTCACAAATCTGCTGCTGCTGCGGCAGTGAAACAAGCCAGAGACGGCTCCAGCAGCTGTTACTGAAACTACAGAAGAGAAAGTGCTCCCGTAAACTGCCTTAATCTCATCATCCTTGAAAGATAAACAGCACTGAGAGGAGCCACAGTCGCACAAATGTGCATCAAAATGGACTGAGTGATAAAAAAGCTACATTGATTTTGACAAAGAGCAGAGGAGGAATTTTGTAAATATGAAGACGCACAATCGAGACCAAATGGGTTTCTAAATGTGTCACGATTGATTTTGTTTTTCAATGCCTGGATGTGATTTTGAATTTGAGCATAGTTTTCTATTAGCTGGATTTTACCGGGGATATGAAAGTTGATACGAACGAATTATTTCATTAAGGATTTTTTTTGAAAGGTAACAGTAAAGGGCTCCAGCTTTTTGTGTGACATTTCATTTCTTCACAATATACCAGGTTCTGTGTATTTTAGGGAACGAGCCAAAAGCAGACAGGAGACTTTATGTTGCGCAAATAAACAGAAGAACAGGGAATTAGTAGATTACCAAAGGAGATATTTACCACAACGCTGTATCATGGAATAAGGGATGGAAATATAAACTTGAAAGAAAAGAGGAAATATAATAAACAGAGTAAATATGTACACATGATAGGTGACTCACCTGATTGATGTGTTTGAGTTTGTCAATGATTTGATTTATCACAGGGTCGGCGTCCTTCACCTTGACTTCTGGGTTTCCACTCTGAGCTTTTATCCCATTGCCGACCACACGGAGGGTGTAGCTGTGAACAAAGTAGAGAAGACAGAGAGAACAGAGTCTGTGAGTATCTTCATTTATCCTCCTGTCATCAGAAACACCACTAGAAAAAAAGAAATACCATTGGTGCGAGGTAACCAAGTACTTTTACTCGAGTACTGGGCTTAAGCACAAATTCTTGTCCAATCATTTTCTGCTTTATTTTATTATACTTCATCCTCTTTCCAGGGGCAATACTGTACTTTGTATTCCACTATATGTATTTAAGAGGTGTAGTTACTGGTTCATTTTCATCCAGGCATCCATTCATTGTCTATACCACATCATCTGTATCCACTACAAAAGGGTCAATCTGACATTGGGCGAGAGGCAGGGTCACATCCTGGACAGGTCTCCAGCGTATCACAGGGTCAAAAAACACAAACATACATTCACAATCACAATTACACCTACGGCCAATTTAAAGTCTTTAGAAGAACACGCACACTCCACACAGAAAGAACCCAACCAAACATTTATATATCACATATAAAACATCATACGTTTTTAAATGCATGAGTATAAAACAGTTGCAGACTCTAGTTGGAGCTACTCTGTTTTATTTGTCTCTTAGTTGTTCAGCCGTTCTACCTAAGAGAGACATTCCCCCTCCAAACATAGCTTATTTAAATGCATGAGGCCCACAAAGGTAAAACTCTGCAATATATTTCACACATAAATACACAATTACATAAAAGTGGAAGAAGTGAATACAGACGTCTTTGGCTTGAATTGGCTTTTCCTTATTTCTTCTTCCATGAATCATCTCACAAGCGCTCAGATTTATCTTAAGAGCCTTAAGAGGGCAACTATACATAATGTAGTTAAAACTAACTCCACCTGGAGCAGCAATAAAATGCTGTTTACACAAAATTGAGTCAGTACCCACAATATCATAATATCATATACAAGATCCTATCCTATCCAACCAAGGAAAAGTCCCATTAATATACGTTATCTTTTCTTCCAGGCAGTCTTGGTCAAGATAGGCAGAAATTCAATACAAGCAGAGCACATAAAACATTCTAAAACACAGCCAACAGAATTAAGCACAGAACAGATGCAGAAACATATATGGAATCAATGGCAACAAATAATAATTTTTGGGAGCTGATGCTGAAGCGTAGGACAAAAAATTTAATATAATTCACATCAAATGTAGTATAAGTAAATATAAATGAAAGACAACACAAATACAACTAAATATAGAGAACGTTTAACATTTGAATGTAAAATATCAACATAAATGCACATCTTTAAGCACATATTAAGTCTGTGAAATAAATATTGTCATATCAGCAAACAGAGGCAGACACTGATATGTCTGTGAAAGGCTCATATCTGCAGAAAACATGGGCCAACCCATCCATCAGTAGGGCTCTACATTGTAGTATAATAACAGTACTTTACTAGCGGAGTACTTCTTCCATTACAGAGGAATTCATCCGTGATGTGTCAGAAACTCACTACTGTCTCTGTGAACAAAATCAAACCTCTAATCTCTTCTTCTCTTCAGCAGCAAAATTAAAATATGATCAACAAAGTGAACTCATAGAAAAGTGATGGTAGGATTCTTTTGAAGTCTTGTGCTGAGGTTAAAGTGGGACTGTTGTTGTTGTTGTGGAGGAAACATGATTCATCTGCACATGAATGTGTGTCACTGCTGCAGTGCTGAAGCTGAATATGATTTCAATGGTTTATCAAAACTAAACATCAAGCCCCACATGCATCTATTAATCCACATTGTAAGTACAGTATACCTTTGACAAAATTCATCTATGATTTGTGCCCTGACGTTTCAATATGCCGCATTAATCCTGGTTCTAAAGCACGCTGTTGTTTTTATAGCTTGGTGAAAGGCTTCAGTTCATCTCAAGGACTCATCATTATTTAGTTTCAGTGCAGTTCAGCTTTAATCGCCCACCACAGCAGCCGATGAGTGAACGCAGCTCACACCTCCATCACCAACACATTATTTCATCAAACTACTGGATCAAGGTAAAGTCGCACATGACTGAGAGATCAGCTGAGTGTGTGTGTGTTCACTATATCTGGATTGGGGAATTAAAAATAAAACATTAAAAAAAATAAATCAGTGGCTAAAATGACCGGTGGGTAATTTGGCAGCAGCAGCTAACACAAATTGGATGTTCTCATGCAATATAAGGTCAGAGGAGAAGAAAAAGTATAAATAAATAACGTTCAGGAAGCTTGTGTGCCTAATTTATTTAAAAGAGAAGGTGGGTGACAGAACTCAAACTCACTCAGTTTGTCTGGGTCCTTGAGATGTAATTTTGATATTAAGTTCCTGCAAATCTGAATGTGATTAGTTTTGTAGAAAGTAAATCCTCTGTCCTTTTTACTTTTAATCAGTGGTTGGTCTGATATATGCCGTTTTTTTCTTATTAGCTCCTTCTCATCTTTCTGTGGCCTCTGTCCTCCTCAGCTCTGCTGTGGCTGCCATCCACTAAAATATTAATCCAGACATTTAGAATCTGTCTGCAGTGGCGACGCGTTGTAGGTTTAAAGAACAGATGCTCAAAGTAACATTTATAAAAAGGAATTTGTTTGGAAGATTTAAACAAAACAAATATGACACAATATGTGAGGTTATTGAATCAAAGATAGATATTACTCAGGTTTACTGTTGGCAGCTGGGGCCCAGGAGGCAGAGCGGTTTGCCAACCAACCCAAAAATTGCCCTTAGGCAAGATGCTGGACCCCAAATTACACCTGATGGCTGTTTCCAACACAGTATGAATAATGTCTGACATGTATGTGTGTGTGTTTGTTTGTGTTTGTTTGTGTGTGTGTGTGTGTGTGTGTGTGTGTGAGTGAATGAATGGATGCTCCTTTCACTGTAAGGCGCTTTGAGTGGTCGCTATCTAAGCTATTTGAACACAAGCTATAGAAATAGTTAAATTACCGTTTGGCTTAATTTCTCAGACTTGCTCTACTGAGTGTGCCTCATGTTATTTCATTTCATTTTAAATTAATTTAAAAATCAGATTAATTAATTTTATCAAAAAGTTGGCATGTTGACCTTTCTTCACCCCGAACTGAGTAATTAGGGAAAAGGTTTGCTCACATTAAAGAGATTTTAGATATAAGAGGATGGAAACATCAACACCAGCTGCGGTTCGTAATGAACCAGCCTGTTGCAGTGCCTGTCGACAGCAAGCTCTGCCATGACTGGATCCCTTTGATGGCTCGACTTGTTGAGTGCATCTAAACCTATTGATCCATCAGAATGTGAGAGTGAAAGTGAAGGCCCCTGTTTGCTCTGTGCAGCAGGCGCCTGTGGCTGGATGCTGACGTGTTGGGACTAAGCTGCACCTGATCCATGTATAATGCATCTGAGATTCAGCTGCCTCCAGCTCTGTTTAATCCACGGACACACCTGCTGAGATTGAGCTTGTATTTGTAACAACCGGAAAGACGGTAGTCCTTGTTGGGTCTGGCACTTCTATAAATTGTTATGGGTCCATCCTGATAAAAACAATAAAGGTGGAAAATAATCAGTGGAAAATGGAGTATCCTGGGCTCCCGTACTGCACTTGTAGCCTTCGATAATCTCATATGTTGCTGACAGTTATCATGAGAAGCCGCCCTATGTTCCAAATAGCACAAAGGTCCACCTCTTCATGACCTTTGCCGCAGTCTTTTTCCTCCTCTCTGTACCGTGTGATTAAAAGTAGATTGAAGAGATTACATCAGAGCCATCTGTGCACAGTTACACACGCTGAAACTGTGCACGGCCACATCTGTATAAAGTTATTACCTAAAAGTGTTTTATATTGTGAAAACCGCTGCATTCATTTAGATGCAGTTACATGAGAAGCATGTATAAAATATGAACATTGGTAGACACACACAGACACACACACACACACGCACACACGGACACACACACGCACACACACACACACGCAGCTCCTCTTGGATTCAGTAAACAATGCATTTCATTATCCTGTTGGGATCCATAACCTGCAACACGTACAATCTGGTGCATGGCTGGTAATGCAACACAAAAACTCTCCCGGGGTTGCGACACCAGAAAATGAGGGTCTGCAGCTTAAATGTGCCACAGATAAAAAACATTGATCACAGTCATCATATATTCTTCAGATGAGTAAAAAGCACACAGAAGCATCAAGTGCAGCCTACAAGAAGATATCAAACAGCAGAGTGATTGCTTGTGTCTCTGTGGACCAGCAGCAGGATCCTATAATCTATAACCTTCTCCCCAAAGGGACGCTTGGTTTGCATCTCATCTCTGCTCACACTGCTGTTCAAGCCCTAGATTAAAAATTTCATTTTATTCTTGGCTCTCATCCCTGTCTCCCACAGCCATGTTTATCTCATGTCCAGAACAAAGAAATTGGAGGCTTCCTTTGCCTCCTTCCTTGACTTCAGGACAGAGTAGAATTGGTACGTAAAGGAAATTCATGCTGATCATAGCACAGGAGGAGCAGCACGGCTCCAATCAGTAAAAAAAACACAGATGTAAGCTACTGTACAGAATCCGAGTTCTGTTTTCTGTTTGTAATATTTTTATCTCACGTACATTATCGTGTCTGTATCCTTTTGATTAGGGCGCTGAGGACAGGGGACGTTTGAGGCTTGAATTTGACTGTAAAACAACGCGGGCAAATCAAATGAAGAGAACTTAATGCAGCTACAGAAGAAATCCTTAACAACCTGACAGACAATGTTCAGCCAACAAAAGTGCAGTGCAAGTACAACTAAATATAGAAATACTGTGAGCTGCACAGAAAATACAAAATCAACTTTCTAGGAGACAGTAAAAAAAAAAAATGATTAAGACAACGTCGTTGCTGTGATGGTTGTGGTTGAGTTACTGTTTTTATCGAGTCCACTAAATAATATTCTATTTACATAAACACTTATGAACAGATTCCTGCAATAATATCAGGTTGAAACCAAAATAAACTCTGCAATAACATATCGTCATATAGTACCAAT